CCGCAGCGCCCCGAACGAGCTCCTGTGGACGGTGACCCTGGCCCAGGGGCCGCGCGGGGAGCAAGCGGAGGAGGTGCCGGTGAACCGCATCTTGCCCCACCCCAAGGTGAGAGGGCAGCCCCGGGCCCTCAGGGCCGGGAACAGCATCTGCACCCCACACCTCGCTGACACGACGCCCCCCCCCTCCCAGTTTGACCCTCGGACCTTCCACAACGACCTTGCCCTGGTGCAACTGTGGACGCCGGTGAGCCGGGCAGGGGCGGCGCGCCCCGTGTGTCTGCCCCAGGGACCCCGGGAGCCGCCCGCCGGCACCGCCTGCGCCATCGCCGGCTGGGGGGCTCTCTTCGAAGGTACCCGCTGGGCCAGACCTGGGGTGACGGAGGTGGGGGAGGCCGACACCTAAGGACTCGGGCCTGCGCCTAGCCGTCTTCGCAAAATGCAGCCCTCATCTTGCAAAGGGGAGAAAATGAAGGGGGCCAGTGGGACGCGGCGCCCTCCAAGCGGAGCCCCCGACCCGGGCCTGAGCCCGCCCACGGTTTCCCTGCAGACGGGCCCGGGGCCGAGGCGGTGCGGGAGGCCCGCGTGCCCCTGCTCAGCGCAGACACCTGCCGAAGGGCCCTGGGCGCCGGGCTGCGCCCCAGCACCATGCTCTGTGCGGGTTACCTGGCCGGGGGCATCGACTCGTGCCAGGTATGAGCCCCAGCCGGTCGGAGGGCGCTGGGTGGGCCGCTGTCCTTCTGCAGTCGGGCCGGCGCTCACCTTCCCAGAGCCTCTGTGTCCTGATGGCTAGAATGGGCCAAGGGTGGTAACCCCAGCGGAGCGCAGAGCTGCCTCACCCAGCCAGGGTTAAGGCTGGCCAATGGGGTGGCGCGAGGGGTCCATGCAGCGCCCTCTCTCTTCGCTCGGGTCCCCGCAGGGCGACTCTGGCGGCCCCCTCACCTGCTCTGAGCCTGACCCCCGCCCCAGGGAGGTCCTGTATGGGATCACCTCCTGGGGGGACGGATGCGGGGAGCCCGGGAAGCCTGGGGTCTACACCCGTGTGGCCGTGTTCAGGGACTGGCTCTGGAAGCAGATGCGAGGTGAGTGCTGGGCTCCTATTGCCCGCCCCGCAGCGTCCCGCCGATAGCTCTGGGACGAGCCCGACCTCGTGTCCATCCTGCCCGCCCCCAGCCCCTTCTGCATCGGGAAAGCCTCCCCCCGGGGCAGGAGTTCGGGGGCCAGGGCCCCAAACGGGTGGTGCACTGGCCCCCGGGCTCTCGGCAGCGGCCCCTTCCAGCCGCGAGCCCAGCTGCAGGGAGCTGCTGGCCTGGGAGCCGCAGGCCGACGACGCCCCGCCCTGCGCCTTCCACGCGCGCCTGTGCCCCGGGC